GAAAAAAAAATCCGAGAATGATCAAACTACAAATTGACACTAAATTATGAAGTCGGTGCTTCGAGGTACGTACAAAAGTGCATGATTCCTAGCCAAATCATTAGGTACTATCATAATCGACAAAAGAAAATTACATTTCGTTACTGGACATTAATCATAATATTTCCTGGAATCATCTACGGTTTGTTTTTATGATTTTAATATTGAACAATTTATTATTCTAATTCGTAAGGAATTGAGTTGTTATTCCTGATTGAATTTTGATTGGTCTTGGTTATATTGTGAATCGTGAGTTGGCTACTCTAAATTCTACCGATTGACTAGCTTCAGATATCCCGGTTCGACCCCAATACTGTTCCCAATCTCCAATATATCAGAACACGAACCGTAGATGAAAAATCGTTTATGGGGTCAGGAGCAGCAGAATAATGACTTACAAACAAATGCATATTTATACAGTTAGGATTACTATAAATATTGACCAACAGAAAGATGACACGTTAAATAATATTGACCAATAGGAAAATGACACGCGAAATAAATATTGATCAGTAGGGAAACGACCAATCGGGAAATGACACCATTTAACGTTCAACGGTAGCGTTAGACTTAACCGGATAATTGTTTCTGGGATATTTTTCTGAGTATCCCAACACCTCCCCTTTGAAGAAGTTAATAGCGACGTAACCGAGGGTTTACTTGAAGTTTCTTTGGGTGTCTTCTTTTGCGATCCGACCTCCGAGGCAACCACACAGAACCAGAGGGATGTTCTACTTGAGTAGATGACTTAGTCGTCTCTGTTGGAGGTATTGGCGGAAGTTGAAACGTGTCCAACAGCAAGTCGAGTGGGACGCGTTTTGTAATTTCTTCTTTCTCCTTCGCTTTCCTTGACCTGAGTTGATTGTGGTGCCTGGTCCAGATTTCTTGGTTCACCTTGACATCATACATGACGTTCCCATGTTTTTGTGTGATTTCACCCTCTACCCATCTATCGCATCCGTGTCTATAATCTCGCGCATACACTTTTGTGCCAACTTCGTAGGGAATTCGAGTATTCTTCATCTGGGGGCTTTGCTGGGCCACTTGCTTGGGTTTCATCGCACCATGAACTGTCCGTAGTTTTCGCCCCATAAGCATCTCAGCAGGGGATTTGGAGTTTGGCAATAAGTCATGCGGGGTCGTCCGATACGCAACTAGGAATCGTTCTATGATATCTTCTGTGGTCCCCTCCCCTCGTGCTTTAAGCATGGCTCGTTTAAATGTATCAACGAACCTTTCAGCTTGTCCATTAGATTGCGGGTGATATGGCGGAGAACGAACATGGTTGATCGCATTTTGCAGGCAAAATTCTCGGAATTGGCTAGATGTGAATTGTGAACCATTGTCTGTTACTATTGTTTCTGGGAGACCATGCTGAGCGAAGATCTGATTAAGGAGTTTGATGGTTCGAGTTGTAGAGGGTGGCGCAATCGGCAATATCTCCGGCCATTTGGAGTATGAGTCAACCAGTATCAGATATGTGGTACCATCTAGGGGTCCGGTGAAGTCAATATGCACTCGCGACCAGGGTTTTTCTGACTTCGGCCAGGGCACTGGAGGCAACTTAGGAGGATTTTTCGCAGCTTTTTGGCAATGTGAACATCTTTTGACGAAGTCGACAATCTGCTTGTCCATATTTGGCCAATATGCATAGCTTCGAGCGATGGATTTCATACGGTTTATCCCTGGGTGTCCAGAGTGGAATTGGCGTAGGACTTTGGAACGTAGGGTTGTTGGAATTACTACGCGATCACCGAACATCAGACAATCGTTAACAACACAGAGAGCGCTGCGGCGATTCGCTAGTTGTTGCATATCACCACTCAGCTGCTTAACTGGCCATCTGCTCTGAACATAGGTGATCGCTTCTTGGATAATCGGGTCTTCTCTGGTAGCTTCCCGAACATCTTCAGCGGTAACAGGCATTGCTCGAACGGCGTTCGCCAATAGTGTAGCATCAGAATCCTCTTCGGTTGATACTATGGCTATGAGTGTGTCCTCATCAGTGGTAGAATGGTTACTGATAAGTCTGGACAGTGCATCCGCTTGACCAAAATCTTCGGAACGTCGATACTGGATGTCGAAGTCGTAACCCAATAACGCCAACGCCCAACGTTGAAGACGATTAGCAGAATGGGCAGGAATGCCTTTCTTTGATCCAAAGATTGATAACAAAGGTTTGTGGTCTGTGAGCAAGGTGAAACGGCGCCCATAAATGAATTTGTGGAATCGCCGGACAGCAAAAATTAGGGCTAACGCTTCCTTCTCTATCTGACCGTAGCGTTTCTCAGCAGGTGTTAATGTTCTCGAAGCGTGCATCACCGCTTTCTCTGACCCGTCGGGAAAGACATGTGAGATTACGGCACCCAGTCCATGTGTTGAAGCGTCAGCAGCAACCACAATGGGTAGTTTCGGATTGTAGTGGGTTAGCAGAAGATTGGAACTTAGCATAGCTTTAAGTTTTGAAAAGGCTGACTCACATTGCGTTGACCAATTCCAAGTAGCATTCTTTTCTAGCAGACGATTTAATGGATATCGTACGTCATGCAGTGATGGAAGAAATGCTGAATAGTAGCTAATCATCCCCAAAAATGATCGGAGTGAGGAGACATCAGTGGGAGCAGGCATTTGTTGGATTGCGTAAGTATTTTGAGGATCAGGGTGTCGTCCGGAAGCATCAAAGATAAACCCCAGGTACTTAACGAAACGTAAGAAGAATTGGCATTTTTCTGGGCGAAGGCGAAAACCATTATCCTGGAGGCGTTGCAGAACTAAATGGGTTCTGGTATGCAATTCATCAACAGTTGAGCCGACAATGAGCACATCGTCAAGGTAAGTAGCAACACCAGGAACATCTGCCAGAATAGTGTCCATGATCTGCTGGAAGATCGCTGGAGCAGTTTTGATACCGAAGGGTAACCGGGTATACTGAAAAAGTCCTCGGTGAGTGTTGATTGTCAACAACTCTCTGGATTCTAGAGCGACTGGAATTTGAAGGTAAGCATCTGCCAGATCCAGCTTAGCAAAATAGGTACCACCATTTAAAATAGTAAATAAGTCATCTGGGATCGGCAGCGGATAGTGATGCTGTTGTAGAGCCGCGTTGAGTCCCGTGGAAAAGTCTGCACAAAAAAAAAAAAAAAAAAAAAAAAAAAAAAAAAAAAAAAAAAAAAAAAAAAAAAAAAAAAAAAAAAAAAAAAAAAAAAAAAAAAAAAAAAAAAAAAAAAAAAAAAAAAAAAAAAAAAAAAAAAAAGATGCGTATGGGACTGGACGCTTCGGGCGAAAAACTGGCGTAGCTTCTGGCTGCAGTTTTAAAACAGCTTCAGTTGTGGAACAAAGTCCGAGACCAGGCTTAAATAGTTCAATAAATCGTTTTCGAAGGTCTTCAGCATGCTGTTGTGTAGAAGCAGTAGTTTGGACTTGATTGCAGATAGCGCTAATAGGAAGATCAGCGAGACCAAGTTCTTCGAACCAATCTAAACCTAAAAGGTTGAGCGGAGAATTGGTGATGTAGCATGTCCCATTGAAGGTTGTACCTCTGAATGAAATACAGCAATAGAGTTCACCATGAAGGCGGAGATGACCCCCACAGGCACTGACGGCTGTTTGAGAGGATGGTTTGATGGCAGGTTGACCCAAGGTTCGCCATGTCTTTTTCGACAGAATGGTGATATCTGATGCAGTGTCCAACTGCAAACGAACAGGCTGACCATTGATTGAGAGGGTCAGAAATTTGCGTCGAGTCGCGGCATGAGTATGGAAGACTGCTGCTAAACTTCTTGATGAGGTAATCGGCTTTTTGTGAAAACGACGCTGCGTCTGTGCATTTCGACGGTTATTGAATCGGTTGGATTTGCAAAAGCCGCTTTTGTGACCAACTTTCTGACAGCGATCGCACACATGCTGTTTGAATGGACAGAACTTCACATAATGCCAGGCTCCACAGTGCCAACATGGCGAGGGGGGCTTCTTCTGAACCGGTTTAGAGTGATTAGAGATAGAAACAGCGCTGGCGTTCGAACGACTCGAGTTTGTCGGTCTCGAAGATTTTTTCTGGTGCTGAACAGCATGAACTTCGGAACCACCCTGGCCCCCAGATTGAACCAAAGTGGTGTCACGCTGCAGATTGATGATGCGCTGGTATTCGTCTATGATCGCATTAAGTGTCAGTGTTGGATCTTGTTCAAGGCGGTTGAGCAACCGAGTTCTGATGTCGGAGAATTTGGGTGACTGAAGACTGCATATGAGTATTAGGGACTTGAATTGGTCTTCAGTGAGGGATCTGAGCTTGAACCGTTCGCACTCACGGTTAACAACGCTGACATGGGTCAGGAAGTCATCGGACTCATTCATGATCAGTTTTAAGCAGCGATATCGAGTACTGAAGAGTGAGTGATGATCACCAAAAAGTTGGCTAAGGGACTGAATAGTGGCGTCGAATGAACGGTCGCGTGGGTTCTGCGGTAGAATGAAGTTGCAATACTTATCCAGCTCGGATGGACCAAGTTTACGGAGAAGAAGACGCACCTTCCACGAATCATCTCTGTCAACAAAGTCAACTTTGAAAAGGTCTTCATAACGTCTGAACCAGGTATCAAATGTAATGTTGGCATCAGGATCATAAAGAAATTCTGAAATACCACTGGTAATACCATCAACTGATTCAAGAATTGTCGGTGCAGTTGGGACTCGAGAAGATATATGCGTCTGAGTAATCATCTCCATCAGCTTCAGCTGCTGTTCGAACAATTTTTCTAATTTGGCTGGATCCATAGTTAATCACCAACTTGTTGCTAAATCTCCGTCGCCAAATTTATTGTGAATCGTGAGTTGGCTACTCTAAATTCTACCGATTGACTAGCTTCAGATATCCCGGTTCGACCCCAATACTGTTCCCAATCTCCAATATATCAGAACACGAACCGTAGATGAAAAATCGTTTATGGGGTCAGGAGCAGCAGAATAATGACTTACAAACAAATGCATATTTATACAGTTAGGATTACTATAAATATTGACCAACAGAAAGATGACACGTTAAATAATATTGACCAATAGGAAAATGACACGCGAAATAAATATTGATCAGTAGGGAAACGACCAATCGGGAAATGACACCATTTAACGTTCAACGGTAGCGTTAGACTTAACCGGATAATTGTTTCTGGGATATTTTTCTGAGTATCCCAACAGGTTAGCATATGAGCATCATGGGCGAATTGGCTCGAGAAAGTCATTTTATCACAAGTTTTATAGATGGATTGTAGCTAACAGTGAAATTGAGCAAAACAGTCAGATAACTCAATTTTTTACAAATTAAATTAAATGCATACCCGTAGCACAAGTAGGTAGCCTAAACTTAATTATTTCACTATATTTTGATGCTTGTTTATTCAAATCAAAATAAACTTAACATAAACAAGGTATCTGTACGTCAGAGTTCATCTTCACAACGATAATAGAAGCCAATACCTTACGTTCACACACCCAACGCATTATCTGCTTAGCCATTAAATGCAGATAGTTACTCACTTTAGAAATAGGTATGAATGTTAATTCCATTTATAAAGGTTTTTGAATTATCCAAGGAAAAAAAGCGGACTAATCAGTTTTCTGAGGATTTATATTTACTATGGGAATATTTCATTTCATTGCTTAGCTGACAGATTGATTACACATTTTACATGCATTGATTTCAGATTTGTGAAAACAAATGTTAGGCATATTTATGTATATTTCTTAAAATGCTTAACTTACGAAGAACCTTTAGATAGGCATAAGAAGTAATATTGTTAGCTGTACAAAAGTACAATCCTTCATCATTCTTCGCCAAATTATATATATCTAAAACGCCTAGAAGAAAGAAAAAACGTGCGGTAAATCGAGTACTCATCGATTAGGGAGTAGAATCTATTTTTTAAAAACATACACTAAATTTTCCTCAACATTTGGACTTACCAAATAAAGAGTCAAACTTTTGATTTCCATTAGATACACCGATAACTCGACTCACATTAGCCACATATGGTTGTGGAGAACTGAATACGCAAGGTAATGTTATATTCTGACTTTCATAAGCAGTTATTTTTATTGGCTTCCTAATGTCATTGACCGTATCAATATCCAATAGACTACCATCCAAATTCATGTATAAAACAGTTTTTAATGAAGGATTGGAAGAGACTAAAATAAAATTAGATAAAATAGCTTATGTGAATTTTGAGATTAAATAAATAATTACACATGAACGAATTAACTTATTCAACGTAGAACCATCCGAAAAAAACAAGCACAAAAACTGTGAACAATCATAAAAATTATGCTAACACAGATACAAGAAATAAACAATTCCACTATTTATTAGCATACATTAACAAGTTAGTCATGATTAACTTAGAGTCCGACATACACGTACACCGGCCCAAATTCCCATACCACATGAGATAAGAAGAAAACTGATCGAAATATACAAAATCGATGTAATTTTCCATAATACATATTTAGGCAACCCAAAGACGGTATTTGTATATATAATTTCCCTCTACTCAAAATTTACTGCACGCACTACCTTAACCATTAAATATAACCTGATGTCTGTGATTTCAACCGTTTCCTTTTACTGTTTCAAACAGCATTATCTAGTTTCATAAATTACAACTGTGTGTTGACATTTGATTAATTTATGAAAATCTTTAAAACATTATTTCTTACACTAACTAAATTATTATATGATTTTGCAGTTTGTTGAATTATATCTTTGATACTTTATGTAATTAACATCTAAGCAATTATTCATCTTCATTAAATATCACTTTCTATGGATAAATAAAATCTTTATAAATGCTAATACCTAATTAACACAGAAAAATAATAGATTAGTATTATAAAATACATGTAGGTGAAAAATGCCATGATAATGTACTCGTCTAAGAAGAGAATTATAAGTTTATTAATGTGTTGATTATTTTCTAAAAAAAAGGAACAACTAATATATCAGGACTGAACTATATCGAAAAAAATTGACTGAAATTGAATACATAGACAAGTATATCGTGAATTCCTAATTCAACAGTTAACTATTTGTAAAATCCTTTACTGGAGAAAGGTTTACAGATAAAAGAAAGTTAATACTGAAATGATCCTAACAAGAGTAAAACTTTAACATATATAATACTTTAATTAGGTATAGAGAGTGCTTGATTGGGGCCTATGAAATAACCGTAATCTATATTCACTTGGTATTGTTTTACTTGAATCTTCCCGTTGGTGTTTTAGGACTGAAATTGATCAGTCTCTTATTGGCATATGTGCATACTGTGCGTATGCCTCGATATTGCCTTAATTTACAAGCATTATAAGCAAAGATGGATATTTGCTAGCAGTGGAATCCAGGATGCGTGTCTCGTCCTGTTTGGGACTCGTCAGATGGATGTACCTGCATCTCAGAGTTGATGTTCACTCTGGGAGTCGAACTCAATACCGTTGAAAAAGCTTGGACCAGATTGCCAGGTGAAACGTTGGATTTACTTAAAATTCATTCGCTGAGATTTTACAAATATATTCTTCTTTTTAATGTCTCAAATTAACTCGGCGCCCAAATATTGTGAAACTATTCGTTCAAATTTAGACGAAAGTTCTTATTTACAAACAAACAGTTGTTAACATGAAACATAATTTTAATAAAGTATTTCAAAACTAAAATCAGTAGTAACTTAAATTTCTTCAACAATCAATTCACCATTAATATACAATCATTTAATTTTGATGTAGATAATTCAAAAGCATCGGTCAATTAACCGCATAATAATTATTCCCTAAAGTGAATTACTATTTCATTGAACGATCATCTGTTCTTTTTCTTACTTTCTTTGTACATAATGAGTTAGTTCTAATAGAATTTATATTGTGATATCATAGTCAAATTATAATATTTACCTAAAACAGTATGTATTACTTTAAAACTATCTTTTTTTCTTTTCCTAACTAAACAACTACTTTTGACCACCCAACTGTGTATATAGTCAATATAAGTGATTTAAAACATACAACAAGGGAAATAAAGTATAGAAATGAAACGAAAGAGAGGAAAACATGAAAAAGTTTCCGCACAAAACAAAATAGGCAAACAAAAAAAGAACAATATAGTTATAATAGTAATAATAATAATCTTTGTAACTTAAGAAAATAGAGATAACTATTTATTTTGTCCAATAAAAAGTTAAGCAAATACTTAGATTCTAGAATTGTTATAACGATCTATAAAATATGATAAATTAAAAACACATTTTCTAACAATTTCGAAATTATTATTATTATTGTGGGTGTTATTGATGGCGACGGGTTAACAATTAACAAGCTCCGAAAATTCGTTTCTCCTTCACACAAAGATATGCATCTTAGATAAAAACACAATTGTTTTTTCTTATACTAGAGAAAAAAAATACAAAACACATAGACTCGTAGAATTTTGTAATTTATTTCAATATATATTCATGAAAAACTATAGTAAAACAAGTCTGTATGAACGTGAACTACATAATCATTTTCATAGTATTTCTCTTTAAAATAATCAAAATGTGAATCGAATATAAGAAACAAGTAGAAGCGGAGAAATGAGGAAAGACAAAAAAACAAACAAGAACATATAGTTAATTTCCAATAAGAATGATTGTACCACAATATGTACATTCATTTATTACGTGGATTCTATTCAGCCGCTAATATCCTGCAAACAATTGTATCAGTCATTAAAAATATAACATCTATGCATACCTACGTTAGAGAACTCTTGAGTACATTTTAAGATGCTATGGAAATGTAGATTAGTAACATATAAAATAATTAAGGAAAAATTAAAAAGAATCTTTTAAATACATGAATATTCTAAATGAGAAGACGCAGTGGAGAGTACGGAAATTGGAATACAGAAATGGGAGATTAGTATCAATTTATGTTATATGTATCTACTAATTTACATCTACATGCCAAAGCACATGGATTAGTAGAATAGTAAAATTTAGTGTCCGCATTTTTGATTAAATTTTATAAAAGTTAAGACTCAAATGGACAGAGCTCTGTTCGTCTTTACCGAATGTCTGAATGGGAACTTTGTTGAATACGTTGTTATCAAAAGATGCACTCAATCATTGATATTGCTTTGCTCTGGTGACCTTAGTATGAAAAGTGGGTTACGTAACACTTTTCACATGACCTTCACTATACATTTCTACTGATTGTTTCTAAACCGACCGTAAGAGATCGCGCACACCAAGTAGAAGCATTTCACGTAAGCGATCTGTCTCTAGACCACGAGAGACAGATAACCCCGACTGGTGCTGGTATCATAACCAGTATGGAAAGTTTTCCGGAAATTGCAGAAAACCCTGCAATTTTCCCAACACGAAACCGACTGATTCGAAAAGCAATTCGGGAAACTTCCAAGCCGGCACGCATTAACGGCAACCGTAGCCGGCGAACAAAGCCGTCGGTTATTCGTCACAGATGTGACAACGAGAGTTCGCTACCTCGTCGACACTGGCGCAGAAGTTAGCGTTCTTCCAGCAAATCCTAACGACCGACTACACGAATCGACCCTCAACTTACAGGCCGCAAACGGGAAACCGATCGCTACGTATGGCAAAAGGTACGTTTACCTTAACGTGGGTTTACGCAAACCCACTCAATGGATCTTCGTTGTTGCAGATGTTTCTATGTCAATCATTGGTATGGACCTTCTACAACACCATGATCTAATCATCGATACGCGCAAACGGAAGCTAGTAGACGGAAACACTAATTTATCCGTTTGCGTAACTTCTTTTCCTGGTTGCAGATTATCCCCAGTCACAATTAAACATATGATAGACCCACTTTATCATGCCCCCTGAATGCCCTGGTACGGCCGAGAGTGGGGAGAGTCCGCTCTCCCTCTCGAAATACTCTCACACGGCCACGCGTATATAGCCTCTGCCAGGGAAGTCCTACTCATTGCCTTCTCGTGGCGGGGGTGTTGTTTACGAAAATGAGAGGACGAGAAGCGAATGTCCGGCGCTTTAACCGGATTCCAAACCAATGGTGCACATGGGCTCCAGTATCCTGCGGGAACGAATGGCGTATGAACCAATCGTTGGTCACCGGCTACCATGGGACTGCATCTCCTTACGATGCTCCACTGCCTTGTGGGTTAGACCTTTAGGTCAAAGGCTCGGGGAGTGGCCCCCTAAGATAACCACCTGCTTCGGTTTGGGCACCCGGGCAGTATCACAGCCCACACACAAATGATGAACTGTTTATGTCTATGGAAACTACTTTTGTCGCTTTGAAAAACAATCAATTGATTCAAATTATGATCACTTCAATTATTGTCATTATTAATACTAATATTATTATTACTACTATTATTGTCATTATTGTTATTATTATCATTATTATTATTATTTTCCACATTATTCACCTTCTTTTATACTTATACAGCGGCTCGTCTTTGGTGGAATTCCGACTGTATCTAAACGTTCTCGAGTCACTGTCCGGTTGAAAATTGTATGTTACCACCGAATACGAGGACTGAAGCAGATTTTCTGAAACCACGTGCATCATTCAAACTGGCTGCCTTCAACGTTCGCACATTTATGCAGGTCGGACAACAGATAGGGCTGGCTATGTCTTTGGAAAGTCTTAATATCGACGTGTGTTGTCTATCCGAGACCCGTATTCAAGACTCTGGCGAAGTACTACAAATTCGATCTCCATCTGTCGCTTCGAAAAGCTTGTTTTACGTGCGCTTATCCGGGGACCCTGTGGCATCTTCGTCTGGTTTTGCTGGCGTTGGTGTCGCACTAAGCGCTAGAGCTGAGGCAGCACTAGTCGATTGGATCCCCATTAACAGTCGGTTATGTGCTGTTAGATTAGAAAGTTCCACCAAAGTGAGAAGAAATCGGCGTGAGAAACGATGTCTTTTCGTCATCTCCGCCTATGCCCCGACAGATTGCAGCCCGGATGCAATCAAGGATGAGTTTTACCACCAGTTATCAGTTCTTCTCCAGAAAGTGCGTTCGACAGATATTGTAGTACTAGCCGGAGACTTGAATGCTCAGGTCGGGCGTCTAGGCACAGAAGAGAGTCGTTTAGGTGGCCGATGGGGACTCGTTGGTCGCAGGTCAGATAACGGGGACCGTCTACTGCAA